CATTTCCTTTAGTATTGTCACAATATATCCCTTCCGTCGCTTCCAATCTACCTCAAACCGAGCTCCAAACAATCACACTGCAATTATTTCATTTTCGATCTGACATTGACAGCAGCAGCAATTCCGTTTTACGACATCTCTGCGATCTGAGTTCCACAGAACTGAGAACGTGCAGCATGGTAAAGTGCATGTGGCAGCTCAAAGACGCTATCGAACTGAGATGATCGTGTGTGTGTGTGTGTGTGTGCGTTCTAGCATGAACCTCTATAGAACAAACCACGAATGAGTTACGTGGCACATGTGCAGTCAAGGTTAACCAAACACGGATGCAATTTCTAGTCTCATACAAACAAGTCACGTGAGGTGCATTCGTATATGTACATTCATTCTATGGAGCTTGTCAATCAGGACCAGATGAGAGTAAAAGGGGTGGGGTGCGGTAGGTTTTCAAGTGGAGCAATACAGAATGTTTGCCTTTATGAAGGAAAATAAACCCTTATTGATTTACGTTCAGTGTGTGAGGCCAAGAGAGATGAACTGTTTTGTGGCAGTGTCTGCGCATATTAAATTGGTTTAATTTGAGTTTATAAACAGTGGTGATGGTGATTTATTGAGGTTGAATGAGGGAGCAAAAATAATGTCTATCTAGTACCATAGAAACAAATGGAGGATGCGGAAAGCGGGACAAAGGTCAATTCTGGAAATTTCACATGCGACAAATCACGTCATATTGCATCATCACGACTGGAGATTGAGGTCATGGTTCGGCTCGTCATGTAGGTTGATTAGGGCGGGACCAAGGCAACTGGAGTGAAGCAATCATGTTCTTCTGTTTACACAATGGTGGATTTTGACTGCTACTGCTTCCGCCGTTGCCAAGTCACTTTACTGAACGTACCATGGCTTGTTTTGAAGCACTTTATAAATGAATTCAAATGCATCGTTGTCTGTCTGATGCCCGGTTTCAGTGAGGTGGACCATCAAATTGTTGCTCTGTTCCATTTAACCTCAATGAACAAATCACATTTATTTCTACCTTACATACCAACACACCTAACTGTAAATGCCTGAAGGAGACGTTATAAGAATAAACTGTTTCGCTATATTGTTTCTCTTTTGATATTCTTTGTTGAATCCTCCAGGAACTTATGAGTAGTGTTTGCATGTGACTACCGATAATCAGCCTATTTTTGATTGAATGTATATCAGTCGTGGGCAAATACGGTGAGTTTTATTTTGAAGCAATAACCAGTGTGATTTACGATTGGGACAACGTTCAATCGCAATTGGTACGCGGTCTATATACACCCCGCGACAGACGAATTTTATTCCAGTCCGAGATATTGTGATTATCCCCGTGTCCATACACATGATTAATGCCATTTTTTCAAAGCTAGACAAACAATAACAGGAATTAAAACTGGAATACAAAATTTTATCGAACTGTTTTTCTATTTTTACTTAAAACAGTATTTATCGCGGTAAAAGTAGTGAGTGCAGCCTCAGTGACACTTGCTCATGTAAACCAGTTTTAGTTCCGAGTACCTTGGCCACATCGTCTTGAAGGTTGCTCACAACTTCGGATAACTTAGTGTATAAGTTTCCGAATGTTAACTCTGTTGATAATATGCCACGCTCACACGCACACTTTTGTATCATGGTACAACTTTCACCTGAATATAAGTAAATCGTTTTTTCACAGGTACTCAAGGTCCAGTGTGAATACAGACCACGCGATTGTTTGATTCTGATGATCAGCATTTTGTTGAAAGCGAGTTATGGATCACGGCAATATCATGCCGGAACATGGGTTCCGTATGACCGTTTGATAGGATTGTGCAGCTTCTTGGCACAAACGTACACGTCGAAAACTGACATTGCATATAATGTAGCAAGTTCGGTTGGGTCGCTGCTTCAGCACAAAGATTCTGCCGTTAATCTGCTTACGGAATTGCCACTCATCCAATCTAGAGACCACGCGAGTACTCGTTCTGAGCGTCTGGTCTATTGAATTCAACTTTCTTTTCGTAGCTTAAGCTATGGGCCTTCTCATTGTGTAATTTATTTGAGTGTTCATTGTATCATCTGCACCGAAACGTTCAACTCGAGCCTCACTGTTATCTCTTTATGTTAGATATTCACAAGAAGACGCCCAGGCGAAGACGAAAAACAGCCTAGAATAGGGTAAATAAGATTACATAGGACGAACCATCTAGTTTGCAACAATTGGTTGGGATTTTCGTGATCGTCCTTTCATAGGTGATCGCAAGCCTAAACGTCTGTTTGCCCCTTCTGTAGTTGAGACAGTAAATTCTTTAATCCACTATTGCATACCGTGGGAATCCAATAATCGCTTCTTGGTGAGCACAAACTACTCACAACTGTGAATAGCATCTTACAACACTTTACATAACTCGATAAGTTTGAGGCTACACGTGGCCACCTGCACTCAACTTTCTCCAAGTGTTGTTTTTTCTGTCGCACAGCCCGTTTATTTTTGGTTTTGTAGTTATTTTTTCTTCACATATTGCGCATCAGTCGATTCAGACCTAATGCACCATCCGGATATCACATATGTGTTGACATTGATCACACGAAAGGCATCAATTCTGGATTTATCGATACCAGTAAACCGATTCCGAAAAGCTGTCGTCGACACTGACTTGCACTGACCCAATTAGAAGTCTCTGTCCCTTCAAGGTCATTGAGAGTGACGTCACCAGGGTCTGATAGAGCTTACTAGAGCTTGCATCAGTTTGTCCATCAGTGAGTGACTCATCACGGTTGCCAGTTGCCATGCCGGATGACTAACTCATCCGATTTTCGACTGAGTCAGATGTGTGAAGCCCACGGTAATGATAGTGTTTCGCAATATAGTTTTGTTAAAATACGTGATGATTCAATGAAACCGCACGTCTCTATTTTTCATCCAGTTGCTGTCCATGTACGTTCTCAGAAATGGTGAGAATCGTGCAAATGGTAGCTGAGATAATGGACAATTCCAATTGGCGGAGGAAAGGCGGTTGGGGATGAGATGTAATACGGATGTCGCAAGGTCTAAACAGAGTTCACGTAACGACAGATCAATTATACTGAATCTATGTGGTATGCTATTTTGCTTTCTGTCGAACAGTCGAACAGAGAAATAGTCACGTATCAAGTGAGATTACCTTATAACGACTGACAGATGGATGAGTAAGTAACCTCACACGTATCGATTTCGAACCGTCTAGAACGTCTGTGCTAGAAGCACAAATTTCTCATGTACTAATACAGAAAGACTCATCACATTAGGTGAAGGTTTTCATACATCGAAGCGCATTGGTTGAAATGTTTCCATTTAGAACTAGGTTGGGGCAATGTCGATTGGAGATAGGTGCATTTTGCATGCAGTCAGTACTCATGGCAACGGATGCTCGTTCAACAGATATAGTATTTTCGAAATAGAAAGAACTAACGAGTTGAATGCTTCACGGTTAGCCAGTTGTTGATTTTGGTCGCCGGTTTTCACAATGTGATCCGATGGTGTTTTGAGTGTTTGTGTTTGTGTGTGCGTGTGTGTGTGTGTGTGTGTGTGTAGGAGGGAGGGCTCATCACGTGTTTACAGAATGCAGTTTGCCTGCGATACGGACGAAAGTGTGAAGGCTGACAAAGAACAATTGTTTCGCCCATGTTGGAACCTTTCAGCACTGTGTGTGTTGCTCCGTTCGTATTCCTGCCGGGCTTGATATCTATCACTGAGGAGATAAATAAGCTCCAAAAGAGTAAACCCTACAATGAAAACACAACAAAAACTATCGATAAAGCTTAGTTTCCGTGGATTTGAAGGAAATAATTGACCGAAACCAATACGTTACATTCACCCAAGGTATTGATCAGCCGAGGTAAGGAGTAGGTATATCGACTCCAAATCCGAAGATTCACATTTCCAGACTCAGGAGGAGGGGGGAGATGAATAAAGGCAGAGCACAAGAAACACACAAAACAACTATTGTTCTGAGGCTCTCTCAGACTGTACTGGACAACTGACACAACTGGTACAATATCGAGATTTCCACCGGTCTGCTCATGCAAGTCATGACAGTTGACACCAGTTCTGACGATAGGCTAAATGGGAATTGCTCAAAACAATTCTGGTATTGGTTGAGTGCAATCTGAGAGACGAACAGAGGGAACGAATGCCCAGTAATGGTAAAGATATGATTGCATCAGATATTCGATTTACCACTGGCGGATGACGATGATCACTCAATTCCAGTCTTTCCAATCCACTGTCAACGCATTTTGTGTGTGTTTTTGCGAGTTTTTTAGCAAGGCAAACAACGGAAACGGAAACGCCGCACGCGTTCGAGCTCAGCAGTTTAGAAAGTTGCACCTATATAGATCATGATGATCTGTGAGCAGTGCTTGTAAAATGAACCGTCAAACGGGAGGGAGAGAAGCATGCGTGTGCATGCGTGTGTGAATATCGGAGAGAGGGACTAGTGAAACCTCGTGTTTTGACACTTTTGCAACCACCGTCCAACTGATTCACACCATTCTCTATCGCTCTGGTCAGTTTTTCTGATTTGTTTAATCCACCAGCTAAAAATTCATTGCATCGCGATTGCTACAAACTAGCTTTGTGTCACGCATTTTGTAGTTTTTTGATGTAAAGAGGAGCACAGGATTTCGATGGCAAAATAATCACTACCGGCTATGTTATTTTTTTTCTGAAATGGCTATACACCAGGGGAAGCTTCAGATTATTCGGGTAACTCGAGTCCCAATCTACACTGCGCCCTCTTCTCCCAATAATCTCAACCTGTGGTTAGCGCTCACGGTTGAGTATAAACTTGAGCCACAAGTGATTGCACTGAATGCAAAGTGCCACCGTTTTATGGATTCAGTTTCAATTATAAAACCATCAATTAAAAAGAATAAGCTTTGGAATTATTTGATAACACAAATGGGTATTTAATACTCGGGCGCTTAGGTTGGGAGTGACGTATGCCTACTCGCTATGCCGCTTCTCCTGATGGTACCAGTTGATAGTCGTCTGATGTACAACCGGCATCCACTTCCCCTGTTTCACAAAGCCAGTAATAGCAAACTGTTAAAATCTGGGGCTCAACTCGGAAATCAACAGAAACGCGACATTGTTATAATCATAAATACGTTATTATTCACACACAGGCATACATACATACATGCATACATACATACATACATACATACATACATACATACATACATACATACATACATACATACAGACAGACAGACAGACAGACAGACAGACAGACAGACAGACAGACAGACAGACAGACAGACAGACTAGAAACCCTATTTTGCAACTTCGTTAAAATTGTCTCCAACTGAATACCCTGTGGAATGACAAACATGTATCCCAGGTCAGTATCCAGTGTCAATCACGAACTAGCGATACATCCGTGCTTCACTTACCCGTCGGCGAAGCGGGAGGTGGTGAGTCCAGGCATGGCATTTTCGACGCTTTCGTTGTGTGTAGCTGTTCCGTTGCAGCGCGTTTGTTATCCGGATGTTCAAACTCCTGTCACACATGGGTTTGAGTGAATGAATGCAGTGATGAAACAGGGAGAAAATGTCATTAGAAGAGAACTAGATTTTGGCAGCATACTGCTGCTGAGTTGAAGCTGGATGAAGTTTTACTGAACTCAATCAAAATACTATTCCAAAGCCGATTCAGGCGTCGCACAAATTTCGATCGAGCGTTTGCTTAGGTGTAAAGCAAATACACTCTTTAAGGATATCTCATTCAATTAGACTCACCCTTAAACGACAATCTCCCGTGTGAGAATTAGTCGGATTCAGGCGCCCGTAACTTATCTCTTATCAATCACACTATGATCTTGCATCTCCCCAAATCATGTGTGTGTGGCGGAGAAACAGAAAACGACACAAGTGTCATGACCAGGTCGGTTACGATTCCGTTCAAGTGATAATCGGGCATACAGATAAATCGACCAATCAGAGGCTAGCAAATCTATAGACCAATAAGATTACTGTTCTGATTAGCTGACTGTTCATCTGAGACATTTGTGAACGATTGACCCAAGTATCGGTCCGTTAGGCTCGGGTGATGGGCGCGTGTGTTTGTTGACCGTTCGGACGTTTCTTGTGTTTGTTTTAAGTCAGCGATGAAGGAGATTAAACAAAATGTTAACAGCACCTAGCGACGTGGATAAAGAAGATTCAGTGTTTCAGATAGCTTCTGTTAGTTAGTCAGACAGAAATCCTTCAACGCATGATGATGAATCATGCGAAGCGAGGGCCGAGTTTACGTAATAAAGCCGGAAAATCAAAGCCAGTGTGTCGGTGTAAGTATAAAACCGGACTCAAACGGCCAATTGGTACACGCATCCCCGAATACCTCTCTCAATAAATAACGAAATTACGATAGGAGATGTACAAGAACCGGAATAATCAAAAATTAGAGTTCTACAGAGATCACAAGGTTCACCTCTATTTCCGCATTCTCCATGGCTTAAGAAAACAAATTAAACACAACTCTGCGCATAATTGAGGCATTATGGGAAAAAGCGTATAGCCTCGTTAGGATCACAGAAAACGGAACAGACGGTGACTGATTCGGTGTTAGTGTTTCATCCGTACCCGTCCATCTGATCACTGTTTCCCCACCAGTTGTTGTTACGTAAGCATTTGAAGTACTTCGACGACGTGCTTCGCGTTTCCCGTTCACACTGAAAGATCTTTGTTCGCTTGACTGACTCTGGCTATTCTGCTCAACACAAGAGATCTCCTAATATTGCTAACTGTAACAGTACTGATCAATTCAAAATGATCGTGCACAACACCTGATCAGCTGATCGTCAGGACTACTGGTGCTTGTATGAGTTTCTTCAGTTCTATCCCCATTACGATAAGTTCGGAGAACCTTATTTAGAATTCGAAACTGAAAATAATCATAATGTGAAATAATTTAAATAATAATGCTAATAATATTTCGGAGTTTTTTGGAGAAACAACCCTTGAATTGTTCCCCACAAAAAACAACTCACTTTCTGATTATCGCTAGGTTCTTGTTCCATTTGTTCAGTCGGATTGGACTCGAAATAACCATCGATATCTTTTGTATATCGATCAATCCATGCATCGGTAGACAGTTGGGGTTCAGCAAGTTGACTCCATCGGGAGACCAGTTGATCCACTGTTGATTCTACCAGTCGACTCACTTCTTCCGTATCCCCACACGAATCTCTCAGCGCTTGAGCCCGCCTATCCAGACTGGCTAACAGCTGAGCCCAACGTGATTCGTGCATTGCTAGACAGGCCTATGGTAAATAGATGCGAATAATCATGTTGTGGTCCGCAAGATCTACGAGAGGCGAATTTACACAGTGATCGTTTTCAGCAATTTCAATGTGATTCTATGTTGACTACTTTTAAAACTTCGATCCTAGCTAGGTAGATGACGTGTTCTGTGGTGTAGCCAAATATCCTATCGAAATTTCAATTGAACCAGACACATTGTGGAAATGATCATGATATTGATCTATTGGTATTTAACTCACAGTTGCTTGTGAATAGTGGTGTGGGATAATTGATTGATTGATTTGAGCTGACTATCCTCCGGGATGAAACTTCACCCACAATTCTCAGTTGATCGATTCAACTATACACTCGGAAGTATTATGCTCGAGTTTCGCTCATACTGGAGCTCATCACTAATGCATTTGAACTCTGAACCGTATAGAAGGCATGTGCTTTATCGCTGTGCTAACCAACTCATACCAGGGCTGAACCGAATTTCCAATTCATGTTTATTCAGGTATCGTCTTTAGGGCTAGTCAATCAGTTCATTTGGCCCGATAGCAACGAAGGGAGACATTGAGGATTGTGCGTCAAGGTGAAGTCTTTAAGACAGTCAGTTCAAAGCAATATTTATTTATTGATCGTACTATTTTTTGCTTTTTGTCTATTTGCAGTAAATCAGACAGATACTCACTTGAAATAGATGACCTTTTTCGGGAATTTACAAGCCGATAATTTTTGTTTTTATTCTATGAATTGAAATACCATGCATATCGTGGATTGAAACAAAACAGCTGGGTCTAAAAAAATAAATTTTGAATCCACAATCCTTACCGAAAGAGACCACTGTTGTGCGCTTATGCATTGCCAGTGATGATAAGGCTGTTCACCAATCAAGACTGAATAATTTGTTCAACTACGCTGGTTTGGTAGACCATTAAAAGAAATATACTCGACTTTTGAATTTTGGAATTCGAGCCCACCGATAGACCTCGACTATGCCTATTCACAACGCACACGCAAACAGCTGGTTTACGAAATTCTGATATAAGCAGCTATGATATTTTTCTAGGTGGACACCAAAATAGACCAACAGCGACCGATTTTCTACAAACGTCTATTTATCGATGTTCATGGATAACGCAAACTTTGAGTTTGAATAAGGCACGGGAAAGTTGAAAATATGATACATCTAACTGTCATGAATAATTCACAATCACTTACATCAACTGCTTCCATTTCCGCCTCGTTTTGCTCCAAAAGCCTCTGAATGCTTTCGTTTGTTACCGATTGATCGCCTGACGGTGTACTTCGCTCCGAGTCAGGATCTCGGCCACCAATTTTGGAGGCAGACAAACGTTCCAATGATCTAAGTGAGGATGTAGTGGAATTTAACTCACGCTCGCCAGATGCGTGACGAGCTATTGATTTCGCGTGTGTGGCATTGGCCATGGCCGAGATACGTCCCACCTCTTCCGCTCGTTCGGTTAACCAGTCAGATAGTACACTAGCTTCTTCCTCGAAATGACGCCAATGTAGTAGGGCGTTCTGCAATTTAGCGTATCGCGTATTGACCCATTCGACCAGGCGACTCCATCGTGTTGCCAA